ATACTGAGGCTTGGTAAACAGCATGCTTAAGCATACTGAAAATTGTATTTAAAATGAGCTGCAAAGCTGCATACTTCCAGTACCTAATTTTACTCAATTTTTTTCAGCCCATATTGTTTATTGATTATGGGTGAATTGAGGAGTCTTTTTTAATCTTTTTTTTGTGTAGTCTAATTAATACTGAGGTTTGGTAAATAGTATGCTCGAGCGTCTTGAAAACTGTGTTTAAAACCAGCAGAAAATCTGCGTAGTCCTAATACCTTTTTTCACTCAGTTTTTTCCTAGCTTGAAATGGATCTCGATTATGCGAGAAGAGTCTTTTTGAATCTTTTTTATTTTGCCGTCTAATCGATATTGAGGTTTGGTAAACATCATGCTTGAGCATCCTGAAAACTGTGTTTAAAAGGAGCAGTAAAGTTGCATAGTTCCAGTACCTATTTTTACTCATTTTTTTCAACCCATGTTGCTTATTGATTATGGGTGAATTGAGGAGTCTCTATGAATCTTTTTTTTGCCATCTGATCAATAATAAGGTTTGGTAAACAGCACACTTGGGCATCCCAAAATCTGTGTTTTAAATGAGCAGAAAAGTTGTATAGTCCCAGCACCTTTTTTTACTCAGTTTTTTCCTAGCTTGTGGTGGATCTCGATTATGGGTGAATCAAGGAGTATTTTTGAATCCATTTTTTTTCCATCTAATCAATACTGAAGTTTGGTAAACAGCATGCTTGAGTATCCTACAAACTGTGTTTAAAATGAGCAGAAAAGTTGCATAGTCCGTGTACCTCTTTTCACTCAGTTTTTGTTAGAGTAGATGCCCTTGAGCCAATCAATTATTGTAGAATTGACTCTTTGTAATAATGTTCATTAATCAATAAAACGCATTTTATTCTATATCGCGTAAATCATTATTATTGCAATATGTATTGATATATGTCCTTAGAATGGTAGAACTATGATGAGGGTATCAAGTGTTTCAAATCTTGATAGTGAGAACCCTATGAGCACATATGGTGGCCATTCTAGAAGCGTCCGTAGCCCCAGTATTATTCTGAAGTAAGGGCACAGATAATACGGTAAGGCTATCATAGTGTTGAACGACCCTGTCGAAAGGCAGTGACTGATCTCACTTGTCAAGGTTGTTTGGTGACAACCTGGTGCAACACATGGGTGTTTGTTGTAGGCGATTACACCACAGCAAGTTCACTGGACTGACCCACCAGAGGATTCCATATGGATGGTAACCCCAGTGTCTATGGAACAAATCCTCTAACGAATGGTGGTGCATGTGATCCTTAGACTTGAGATCACCAGAGCGCCTTGTGCACCGATTGGTGTAGTTTGACACTAGCCTAACGCAGTTCTTTTCAGAGCTGTCAATACGATGGTGATTGGCTGCATCAAGGAGGGTATCAAGACTATGGTGGATTGACAGAGGATTCATCACTCCTGGGTATGGGAGAAGTTATCTCACGGCGTAATTCAGTATATGGCAATGACACTAAAACTGTGGCCACAGTGGGATTGAGTTGTTGCTCTATCAAGTTTATAATACGGGTCATTGGTCCAGAAACTGTATACATAATATCGAGAGTAACCAAAGGTTGACACTATTTCTATGCGTTCGTCTCGTTGAGATAACGTATGATGAAAGGATCGAATTGCATGGTAACCATATCGTTGACAGGTAGCTACTTTGCTGAATCTGAATCTATCGGGTGGCCAGGATGCCTTGTTAGGGGCCAATCTTGGTCTGTGTATTAGTGAGACGATTAATTGGTGTTAATCGCGATACTATACACTGTCGATATGATGAGGAGCCTATGGGTCACACACATAAAAGATAATTTAAGATCCAAGAAGAAAGAAGGGCGTTTTCGTCTTTTTAGGCGAAATGGTATTTTGGTAATTTCACAGTGCAATTAAATTTGCTGAGGTCGTAGCCTTTATTTAATTTATTAGAAAAATTAAATAAGTGAAATTACGTTTAAATATGTGTTCGCATATATTTAATTAAATCATCATTATTGTTAAATGTTAATATATATATATATATATATATTAAATATATATTAATTAAGTTTAATTGAGATAATAATGAAATTAATAAAATATCTAATTAGGGGGTGTTTGGGTTGGAGCCCAAACCTATTCCATATGGGAATAGGGCATCAAGGTTTTACTATAAAAGAAAAAGGTAAAATGTAAAAATTACAAGTTTTTCATTTAGTTGATTTTCTTTGTAAAAACCAATACACAGTAGCCCCTATTTTCTTATGCCACGGCAGAAACACTTTTGCCTAAAATCAATTCAATTGATTTTTCTTTTCTTCTTAATCTTGAAGTCAAAGAGGATCTAGCAAATCCCTCTTTGGCTCTTTTGAGATTCTCTTCGTGTGGACTATGTGGGTTCGATCCTATACTTGGATCGATAGCTAAACGTTCAAAGACAATCGTAGTGGAGCCTCCAAACGTGCGTATGGTTTCTAAACACAGATTATTAATTTCTGCAGATTCTTGCTTTAATATGAATTGTAAAATTATACCCTTGATCTTGGCTCATGTAAACGATCCTTGCATTATATTTTTGTTTCCGCTGCGTATATGGGACCGTTTACTAACAGTGGTATCAGAGCCTAGGGTACTGAATTTTACAATTTTATTTGTATGGTTGATAAGATGCGTTTGATTGATGATATGTTGCCATATTGAATCTGCGTAAATCTGTCTTAAAACATGTTTTTTTTAAGAAATTATTAATCAATTAATTTTTAATTTGTTGATGATCTACATGTTTGGAATAATGGTTGATGGATTTTTGTTGAGATCAATGTGTTTAATTGATTGTAAAATCCGTTTAGAGTGTTTTTGGTTGCTGTATGAACAGATCCAGAGCTACAGATCTATGTACACTCGCCGCGGCGATATAACCCATCGCTGCAGCGAGCGTTGTTCATGCTAGCACTGGTGACGAAACCAGTGTTCGCCGCAGTGATATAACCCATAGCCACGGCGATCATCCTTAGGACTGGCGCTGTACCAAATCGTCGCGGCAAACGTACGTAGAGCGTGGATGTCAAGTAACCAACGCACGCCGCAGCGATCTAACTCATCGCCGCAGCGAGCGCACTTTCGAGTGCCAAGGGGGCTAGAATGTAAAGTTTCAAAACTTTTGGACCAAACACAGATCTGCAAATTGTCAGGGGGTAAATGTAATTAACCCACTACAACTGTTCTTCCTGTGTCAACTGTGTTCCTAACAGTTCTCATGACACTTGCAGCAGCTCTTGCATCTAGCCCTGAAGTTGATTCATCCATGAATATAATGGAGGGGTTAGCTACCAACTCAACCGCTATGGTTAATGTCACAGGGCCTAAACTCCCTTCTAGGCACTGCACGGCACAAGCGCACTGAGCACTTGTCATCCTTCCCCAAGTGTGCGTATCCCTATTACAAAATCGCACACACAATACACAAGAGAGGCTAATGAAAGTATAATGCACCAAATATATGGGAAAACCCAACCTTATATTATATATTCTGAATAGAAGGAAACTTAAGCACCCACACAGTGTTTCTCACTGATTACAATTTGATCCCAATCACAGATTCAGCACCCAAGTTACAACAAAGGTATACACACACATATCCCTTGCCCTCTCTCACTTTCTCACGAATTTACAACCTGCTTGCCTTATATACATGTTCGCATAACAGTTACAAAGAGGTTGCAATAGCAGTTACAATCCTATCTAGCAGTTACATAGCAGTTGGCTTACATACAAGTCTATCTAGACAAATATAACCATCCCAAAGCCTTAGTCCAGCAACCATGTAGCCTTGTCTGATCATCCCATCATCTAGTGCACGACCACATGCACCCCACACACATTGCTCTCTGCCTCATGCATGTACTCAGCCACTTGTTGTTTGTCTTGCATGTTTGCACACATCCCAGCTCGTGTGCCTCTGCTTAACCTGCCCATGGGCACCCCACACCCATGTTAACACATGCCTGCATGCGCATGTTCTAGCTTGCAAGTGCCCACACCCGCTAGCCATCTCATCAGTGAGTACTTGGCGTCCCAACGCTCAAACACCCCATACTTGATCTCGCCCATCCTTGTTTAGCATACACCCGTGTGTTGTCTTGGCAAGGTTGTAGCTAAGGATGAAAGCCACATGCCTACCCTTGCCTTGGCATCCTTAAGGGTCTCACAGTTAACCTCTTATGCTGCTAAGTTGATAGACCATTCATACCAGGCAACCCAACTAGATTTCCTTACAATGGTGTTAATTCAATAAGCTCCATGATTTCATCAATGAACATCTGCAACCATTTTTCAACCAAAAAAAAAAAAAAAAAAAAAAAAAAATTAAAGTGACAAGCCAACAAATTTTTAAGCATTTATGTCTTGTCTCAATCTCAATTACCGACCTTCCTAGCTTTAGAGTTCACATTTCTAGGGGTAATCGCAGCCATGCTGAGTAGAGCAAGGATTCATAGACAGTAACATGAGGAGAGTGAATGTCATTTTGCTCACAATATCCTAAGGTTCGAGCAAATGTTTCCTGCTTCTTCAGATACCCTGAAATTGTGATGTTCCCTTCTATGTATCCACCAGTCTTCCTTCCGGCTAGCACATCCATCAGAGTGGTTTTACTAGCACCACTTACCCCCATTAAAGATGTTAGAACACCAGGTTTAAAAGCACCACTCACACCTTTCAGTAGCACCAATTTTTCATCGACAAGACCTTGATCTTTCATTTCTTGTTATTCTACAGCAAAATGTAATTAGTTCTCTATTGCCATTTATTTTTGGACAACAATACTTTCCAGTTTCCAACTTCAATTATTTATCATAAGTTACCTTTGGCATGCCTACTGAGTATGTAATATTTTCAAAGGTAATGCAACGTTGTTCAAATGGAAGGATCATTCCTCTTCTCTTTTGATGAATGATCATAGCAGCAGTTTCTGGCCTCATGAATAATGACTAAGCTAAGGTGGTTCTTCTACCAATATCATTTCCTTTTTCTGTTGCCAATCAAAATTACTTGTCATAAAAAAGAATAAGGGGGCCAATTTGGCAAAGAAAAATAGAAGAAACTACCTTTGACCCCTCTTTAGTGACCTAATATGCTTAATGATACTTTCCCACAAAAAAAGTTTCAAAATACCACTTTCCCACCCAAAGTTAATATTTCGCTACTTAAAAAAATTCTCTCCATCACCACCATTCGAACCTCCGGTCTCCTCTCTGCAAAACCCCTCTTACTGTAACACCTGAGTTCTTGCTGATTTTTTACCATCGCAAAGCTAGGGTTTTCCCTTCTTAGATGATTTCCTACTAATTCCAGCGACGAATATTCAATTGGTCACCACCATTTGATTCACCGGCCTCCACTCTATAAAAACATTCTTACCTTGGGCCTTGGTAACTCAGCGAACGCCGATTGAGAAAGTGAAGTATATTTTGGGTATTAATGAAATATACACGTTGAATGGGTAAAAGGTATTTTGAAACTTTTTGGGTGGGAAAAAGTTGTTTACTGTTTTAAATTACACCAAACCATTGGTCATGTATAATTGGATACAAGTTGATGAAGTTTTTTAATTTTACTTAATTTTTATAATCAGGGTGTCTAGACCAACTTGCGCACAGCTTAGATAATCTCTAGGGCCCATTGAACATCCTACAAGTCCAATTGTTCTAGGTAAGCCACAAATGTGGTAGGTGGCCCCAAGGTGGTTTGAATTCAGAAAATCAATAAAAGGAGCAAATCTTCTTGACCACTAGACTAATCCCTTGGGTGGGTAATTCAATATTAAAAAAATAGCTTGTGAACTGAGCGTTTTTTCCATCTAATCAGTACATAGATTTCGTAAATAGTATGCTTAAGCATCCTGAAAACTGTGTTTAAAACGAGTAGTAAAGCCACACAGTTCTAATACCTATTTTTACTCAATTTTTTTTCAGCCCATATTGTTTATCAATTATGGGTGAATTGAGGATTCTTTTTGAATCTCTTTTTTTTTTTCTTTTTTTTTGTCATCTAATTGATACTGAGGTTTGGTAAACAACACACTCGAGCGTCCTATAAACTGTGTTTAAAACAAGTAGAAAAGTTGCACTGTCCTAGTACCCTTTTTCACTCAGTTTTTCCTAGCTCGTAGTGGATCTCTATTATGGGTGAATCGAGGAGTCTTTTTGAATCTTTTTTTCGCCTTCTAATCAATACTGAGGTTTGGTAAACAGCATGCTCAAGTGTCTAGAAAATTATGTCTAAAATGAGCAGAAAAGTTGTATAGTCCCAATACCTTTTTTCACTCAGTTTTTTCCTAGCTTGTAGTGGATTTCAATTATGGATGAATCAAGGAGTCTTTTTGAATTTTTTTCTTCACTGTCTAATCAATACTGAGGTTTGGTAACTAGCATGCTTGAGTGTCCCGAAAACTGTGTTTAAAACAGAAAAGCTGCATAGTCCCAGTACCTTTTTTCACTAAGTTTTTTCCTAGCATGTAGTGGATCTCGATTATGGGTGAATCAAGGAGTCTTTTTGAGTCCTTTTTTTTTTTTTTTTTTTTGCCATCTAATCAATATTGAGGTTTGGTAAATAGCATCTCAAGTGTCCTAAAACTATGTTTAAAACAAGCGGGAAAGTTCAAGCAACAATCTTCAACCCGCACAACTGTAAGGCCGAGCATGCTGTTTACCAAACCTCAAGTTTTAATATATTATATCGAATTTTTTTATCACCCTATTTAAAAAAGAGAAGACCTTTCAAATGGGATACTCTATTTTAAAGAAGGATATTTATGGGTCTCCTATTGTTTATTTTCAGTATAATCAAATTGTGTCCTCAAGTGTGATTCTGAGTATCAGTTGAGTGGACACTACATGTCGTCACGTACACATAACAAGTGTACTTCTCTACCTTGCCTATGACTCGTTTATCAACCTTCACTTTGGCGAACAAGCAAAACAATCATTTTAAGTCGACCCATCACTATTAAGGAAAACTCCAATGAATTTTAACCTCCCACTGGTAGAAGTGTACCATTTTCTTTGGCAAACAAGGTTCCGATGAACAATAGTTTGATTAAAACCATGGTGATGGAAGGCATATGTGACTGCTTGGGTCGGGTCGACTCGGCTTGGGGTAAGGTTGCAATTGGAGCCGAGTGGAGGTGGGTTTGATTTCTTAGGGTATCATGATCTGAGGCAGTGAACAATTGCCTTGGGTGATCTGGGAGCCAAGAAGAGGAGGCATGGGGTTGACCTAAATTCCAATCTAACAAATAGAATTGGCTTACCTTGTCTTGGAGGGCTTGATTCTTTACACAAATGGTGGCATTTTAACATTCCAGAGCTTGGTACTTGTCATTGCTCTCTAACACCAGTGTGGTGAGGGCCACAATCTGAGCCACAACGTCAGGAGTGGGGGTTTTGATGTTTTCAATCACGATGGATGAATTAGGAGAGAAGAGTAGAAATACTAGGTCGTTTAAGTCAAATAGTTGTTAGGGCCCCATGGTGGATGCCAAATTATAGACAGTAAAATCTACGGTCAATTTGGAAGGGATAGATCCTCTGAAAGTAAAGCCACTAACAACCTGATGGACTTACACAGAAAAGAAAAGAGAACATGAAGGCTAGATAAACATTGGTGTGGTGTCCGCCGTAGATACTCCAACACTTTAGTCAGCGAGGGTAACAGTATTTAGTGAGGGTTGAGGACAGGAAGGATTATTGGAATAATGCAGTGGTTCTTGGGAGCAAAAACTTTAAAGCTATGTGCTACAGGCGATTTTTGAATGAATATTGAGAGGGTTTGTGCTTGTTTATATAGTGAACCCAAGGGGTTGGAATCCTACTTACTAAAGGAGTTCCAATTAGGAAGAATATATGATCTCTTGCCTTTATTAGATTAAGCTTAACACTTAGAGTAAGATTCGAGATCTTGACAGAAGTGAAAATATAATAGGATTCTGATTCCTATTTATAGACTGCTATGGGCTCATGGGTTGAACCCAATTTAGGTTAACTTGTAGAGTAGCCTAACTCATAGAGTGGGCAGGTCACAAGTGACTTACTAATATAGATTAAGCCACCTTGTGAACTGTGTTTAAACATACTATTTATACATGTAGTGTTTCTGCCGTCTAATCAATACATGTAGTGTTTCAAATGACTTTTATTGATTAAGCTATTTGAGGTTTTCAGTATTGAGTTTGTATTTATCAAATCAATAATACATAGCATAATGATGTCTAATATTTGGGTAATTCAAAAAATAGTTTTCGTAGGTGGTTGTCCTCATTTCATCAACAACCTCAAATAGCTTTTGTATACAATAGTTGACTTGATTCGTATGATTAAAAAATTGTGCTTTGGATAGTCTAGTGGTATTTTAAAAGTCAGTGAATAGGAAAGTGTTATTAGGCCATTATTTGGGTGGGAAAACGTCATTTACTCTATATTATATATTGAATACTTTCTCTTATAATGATCGATAAAGATCAATGGATTGAAGATCTACAAAGATATTAAAAAACCGATGAGGGTAATAAATCTATATACCACAATGATTGATGTTCTCTCCCCTGTTTAACACACTCATCACATAATCTTATAATATTGTATAAAATTGAGATCTCAATTTTAAATTTCAATTAAAACCACTGGTGATTATAGAAAAGTAGCACATGTATTCTTTGCATCATCTTATCAACAAATATATAAGCTAGAATTTTAACAGTGTGGCATTATCTTTTTCCTTCAAAGAAAGTAAATAACCTAATTTCCAAATTTTAGTTGTATAAAAATTAGTGTTTGTTTAAAAAAAAAAAAAAATAGTGTTTGTATGAGCAGGATTTAAAAAGACTCCTAATTGATACTCAGATCATCAATATAGTTTTCGGGGTGCTAAGTTCGAGCATGTTGTTTACCTCTTTTCATTAACCATTAATTAATGACCTAATATGCCAATTTGCTGCATGAGGAAAATACCATTTACTCTTCTCTTCTCTTTTCTTATGCAAATATTTGATGTTGAGGTAGTAATCCTAGGGTGGGTTTGTCAAATATAAGAGCTTCCTCTCAGTTTGATTTGAAGTGTCGAGTGCAAAATCGACGATGAAGTCAACTAGCACTTGAGACTTTATGGCGGTGCGAGGTTGGATAGAGATGTCAAATTCATTCAGCTCTATTGTCAATTGAATGAGCCCCAAAAGGTTAGGTTTGTAGAGGATTTTCTTAGGGGGTAAGAAGTGGAGACCACAATTAAGTGGCATTGGAAATATGGTCTTAACTTCCTTGTGGCGGTGATAAGAGCGAGTGCAAGCTTCTCAAGTTGGTTGTATCGTGTCTTGACATCAAGCAGAGACTTGCTAGTGTAGTAGACAGGCAGCTACTTTCCTTCTTCTTGAATAATACAGTTGAGATGGCCGATTCAAATACGGCTAAGTAGGTGAGTAGTCTTCCCTTGTTTTTGGTTTAGAGAGTAAATAAGGTAATGTTAAGTACCTTTTCAGTTGGGCTAATGCTTCTTTGCATTCTAGGGTCCATTCAAATTTTGTGGACTTTCTAAGGGATGCAAAAAAGAGATGACACTTCTTCGTTGACTTTGTTATGAACCGGTTCAGCACAGCCACCCTCCTAGTTAGACGTTGGACATCTTTTATGCAAGTAGGTGAAGGAATGTTTAGGATTGCACAAATTTGGTCAAGTTTAGCCTGAATGTCGTGCTATGTGACCATATTGCTGAGGAACTTTCCAGAGGAGATGTCGAATGAACATTTGGCTAGATTCAACTTCATGTTGTACTTTCGTAGTACCTCAAACGCTTGCCTTAGGTGGTCAAGGTGTTGGTTGGGGGTCAGCGACTTCACCACCATGTCATCGATTTATACTTCCATGGAATCTCTTAACAAGCTGGCAAACATCTTATTCACAAGACACTGGTAGGTGGCACCAAAGTTTTTCAAGTAGAACGACATCACCTTGTAGCAATAAATACCCTTCTTAGTGATGAAGGCAATTTTCTCTTGATCGTTTAAGTGCATGAGTATTTAATTGTAGCCTGAGAAGGTGTCCATGAAACTTAGTAACTCATGTCCAACGGTGGCGTTAGCATGTTAATGTGGGAAAAGGAGAAGGAGTCTTTGGGGCAAGCCTTGTTCAGGTTAGTGAAATAGATGCATACTCTCCATTTCCCATTCTTCTTTCGAACGACCACTACATTTGCCAACTAGTTGAGGTACTAAACCTCTCAAGTTGAGCCGTTGCTTAGCAGCTTCTTTACTTCCTTGTTGATCACATTGTTTCTCTCTAGAGTGAGCTTTCTTCTCTATTGTTTCACCAGGGTAGTTCAAGTTGGTGTTTAGTTTGTGCACTGTTGCTTTGAGGTTGATCCTTATCATATTGGAGTGAGACCAAGCAAAGCAGTCTTGGTTCTCCTTGAGGAAGTCTATGAGCTTTTCTCGGATGTTGGGTCTAAGTAGGGCACCCACTTGGGTCTTTTGATCTGGGTAATGAAGGTGCATTTGGACTTCATCTAGCTCCTCTATAGCTGGTTGGTCCAGCTCGGCCCCTCTAACCGAGTGGGACTATAGTTACTACATAGTCCCTCGCTTGATCTTGAAGGCGTTCTGATAACAATCTTTAGAAGTCTTTTGGTCCCCCCAAATTTCTTTTATTCCCCACTTGGTAAAGAACCGAATGGTCTAGTAGAAGGTAGAGGGGATGGATCGCATGCCATGGATCCAAGGTCGACTGACAATCACATTGTAAGGGAAGGGGGCGTCTAGTGTCATAAAGGTGGTTTGGAGGTTGACTCCCTCGGCGTAGATTGGCAGAGCTATCTCCTTTATTGTGTATTTTTTTTTTCCAAACTTAAGCCAATGAGTAGAGTAGACCGACAGATGATGTTTGACTCATCTATCCCCATGACTTTGAGTGCCTCAAGGAACATGATGTTCGTTGAGGAGTCGGGGTCTATGAGGATACTCTTGATAAGGATGTTGGCTATCTAGAAAGCATTATGGTAGGGGTTCAAGAACTTCATTGCTTCGTTGTCAACGAACTCAATGGCCAAGTTGGTTGCCTTCTACGAGGGTGGCCTAGAGGATTGGACCTCGGGGTTAGCTACGGCTCTGGCGTGATATTTGTCCAAGAAGTATCTTACACTGCTTATTTTTTATCTACTTGACATCACATTGCACAATTCGTCCGTAGGTGATGCTTTTGGTGGAGGTGTAATCTGGCAATACTTATTTGCTAGGGTGTTCTTCTCTTTGTCCATTAGGAAGTCGTGGAGGTGGCCCCTCTTTAGTAGGTCTATTACTTCAAGATGGAGGGTGATGCAATCAGCGGTGACATGGCCATAGTCCCCATGGTATCACACCATTTGGTGGTATCTTGCTTGGCCTTGATGTGTGGTAATTTCACAGGCCATCTAACAACTTTCCCATATTGAGATCTCAATTTTATACAATATTATAAGATTATGTGATGAGTGTGTTAAACAAGGAAGAGAACATCAATCATTGTCTTATATAGATTTATTACCCTTATCAATTTTTAATATCTTTGTAGATCTTCAGTCCATTGATCTTTATTGATCATTATAAGAAAAAGTATTCAATATATAATGTATAGTAACGACTTTTTCCCACCCAAATAATGACCTAATAACATTTTCCCTTTCATTGACTTTTAAAATATTACTATACTATCCAAAGCACAATTCTATAATTATACGAATCAAGTCAACTACTGTATGCAAAAGCTATTTGAGGTTATCGGTGAATTGACCACAACCACCTACGAAAACTATTTTTTGAATTACCCAAAGTCATTTTTCTCTCAGTTGAAGGTTTGCTTGTGGAAACAACATTTGCCATACTAGCATAACCCAAAGTACACTGCAGATTTTGTCACAATAGTCATTTCCTTGATGTTTGGGACAATGTTTTGGGATCTGTATTAGTAAATGATTAGACTATATGGGCTGTTTCAACAAGGAAAAAATCTCCATTTAGTATTGCAATCAACAGATAGATGTTGACGCCTTCAGAAAGGGGCTTCTCCCCGACAATGAGTTATATAAGGAGCTCACCAAGTTCAACTACTCCACCATGGAAGATGTATTAGCTCAAGCTCTAGTAGAAATAAGGTGGGAAGAGGATTAAGTAAACCGCATCAAACACTCTGCCTATGAAGATCGTCGTTCTAAAAGGACTGAATGATGCCAAGATAATTGTCTCGTCGAGCCGTACCACCAACCAAGGAGAGTCAGTAACTAAGACAACTGATGCCCAATGGAATGCCACCTGGCTTGCACAATGAAAGGACATAAGTCCTGCCCCATTGATATAAGGTGCCCGACTACAACCTAAACATTGAACCTACGGAAGTACTGGCTATATTAATATTAAAGGGTGCATTTGTTTTGTTATTTTGGATAGGATTTTGGGAATAATATTGGATAGTTAAATAGGGTGAGTACTATAAGGTAAAATTTTAAAATTAACAAAAAAAAAAAAAAAAACCCCTAGGTTTGCTAATTTAACTAAACACCCCAATATATAAAAATTTTGTAAAATGACAAAAATACCCCCACTCACCCACAGTGCCAGATTTCGGACACTATCGTCGGAATTTGGCCAAAAAATGGCGTTACAACACTGACCGGTTGGATCTGGTCAGTCGTGCGTCGATATGGCCTTTTCCGACCAGATTCACCACATATCTGGCTGAAAAAGGCTAGATCTACAGTTAGATCTGGTTGTCGACGACCACAAAAGGCTAGATTTGGCCATTGCAAAGATATGGCCATCGTTGACGGTCAAATCAGCGAATTATCGGCCAATTCTGATTATTTTTACGCTGTTGTGATAGATTCCGGCAACCACCGATCCGGCACCATGGGTAGGTGCGGGTGTTTTTGTTAATTTTTAAACTTTTTTTTCTAGGGGTGTTTAATTAAATTAATAAATTTAAGGGGTTTAAAAGTAATTAAAAAAATAGAATAGTATTTCTCAAATAATAAAACAAACAAGTATTTTAGGAATAGGATTAGGAATATGGATAGGAATAACAAAACAAACTCACCCAAATATATTAATATTGAGTTCATGTGCTCAACCATGTCCTTCTCCAGATTGAAACTCTCCAAAATCATCCTCCTAATTGTTTGATCTAATTCCGATACTTGCTCCGAAAATGAATGTATCGTTTTGCTGCAATTGATTGAAATAGATAAATTATGTAAGAGATCAAAATAATATGATAAATTATTAACATCTTGAATATTTTTTTACCTGAAACTTTCGTTTCCTTTAGGCCACAAAATATTGGTCATGCTTTTGACTTTCTTGATGATGTTTACGTCATCAATGCCCATGCTTTCATAGAGAGGAACTTGAGGGTATTGTCCAACATAACCATGAAAGGGCCTTTTTGAAAGGTTTCGAAGTTTGGTTTGTAATGGTAGGTCAAAAAGTGCTTCCAGTGCCCCAAAAATGCTTTTCCAAAGCTCTACAGGAACTTTGTCAAACAAAGCCTCGAAACAACCGAATTCTTTAAAGGCTTTTCTGACTTGGGATTTCATTGAACCCCACTTAGGAGAGCCTGGTTTCAGGTTTGGCTTGGAAAAGTCTATGACTAGAAGTCGAATAGGGGTTTCAGAGACCATTTCTGTTAGCCAGACTGAAAAGAGGGCAGTTTTGTAAAACTGCAACTCCACAAAAGAAGCGACGGCATCGTTTTGAGAAGAGTAACTTTACTCTTCTGTTTATCGTTGAAGCTGGGTTTATTTTGCAGCATTTTGTTCTCTCTCTTTCTTTGTATATAAAGAAACGAGTCATTGTAAAAGTGTATCTCTAAGAAAATTAATAATAGAGTTCACGAATTCTCAGATTTTTCTTTTCAGTTCTTTAGTTTCTCATGGTATCAGAGCCTGAGACAAGCGTCAACGGCATTGATCTGAACAAGTGATTTTTGTTTTTTTTGGCATCAATGGAGAAAATGCAGAGTGTTTCAACGAATCCTCATCTCTCAGTTTTTTCATCAAGTCTTCAGGTCGTCACTTCCAAACTGACAAGAGACAGCTACACTAATAATTATCGATTCTGGTGATTGCAAGTCCTCTTCGCTGTAGGAGCTCATGAACTCGAAGAACATTTGACAGGTTTAGTTCCTTGTCCAGCTCCCTTTATTAGCTCTGTTTCTTGTTCAATTGAATTGAGTGATAGTAAATCATCTAAAACCCTAGCTAAAGAAAAGCTGAATCTAGCTTATGTAACTTGGAAACGAACTGACAAGTTCCTTGTTACTTGGCTTCTCGCTTCAATTTCTAAGTGCATGTTCACTCTTGTTGCAAAATGTCAGTTTGCGTCTGAAGTGTGGTTTAAACTAGAAGCTGAATTTGTAACTGAGTCAAAGGCCAGAGCCTTACATTTGAAGAATTTGCTTCAGATAACTCAAAAAGGCAATTTGAATGTTCATGCGTACGTTAAGAAAATGAAAGGCATTGCTGAAAGTCTGTCTGCGAGTGGTCAACTGATCTCACATGAAGATCTTCTTCAACATATCTTAGACGGTTTAGGTCTAGAGTTTGACACTGTTGTTGTTAATATGACCTCTAGGGTAGAGTCTAAGGTTGAACCAATTACTTTGCAAGAGGCTCAGTTTTTGTTGTAGAAATATGAGTTGCAGCTTGATAGGTTTAACTCTATAGAGTTTCATGGAGGTTTGGTTAATGTAGCTTCTCTTGAGAATTCAAGTGGTCAAAATTCGGTGCCTATCACTTCTAAGGTTTCCTCTGCACCTACTAGTACTTCTGGTTTAGTCACACATAGTCAGTCTCAACCACAAGGCTTACCAAATCCTCCCATAGGATCTCAGAATTATCCTTAATTCAGTCGAATGATCCTAGATCAAACTTTGGACATTTTGGTGGAAATTCAAGCCACTTTTACTCTTTATACAGACCTGTATTTGGAAGAGGCGGAGGAAGAAGTAAGGGCAGAGGCAAGCCTATTTGTCAAGTTTGCGAAAAAATTGGCCATACAGAAGCTCACTGTTATCACCGCTACAACTCCACTTACACTGGTATACCTCCTCAAAGTAACATGCCAGGACAAGGTGGTTCTGGTCCAGCTTTTTATAATGGATTTTATGGATCTCAATTTGGAAATTAGTAGCACTGTAACACTGGCAGTCCGTATAGTTCTTATTCTGGAAGTCAGCATGTTATTGTTCCCGCTAATGGATCCTATGATTCATCATCCCAGCCCACTATAAACTCCAACTTGCACAGTCAACAACAGCATACCAATCTACAAGGCAAACCATCTTTTACTCATCAACAGCAAGGGTTTCATGTCCCTAGTTAGCAAAGTTCCTACCAAAATGCAGTTCCCAACCAAGCTTTTCTTGTGTCTAATCAGTCACTTTCCTCAAACCATTATCCTCAAACACACATGACTGTCCCAATTACTGCTCCTGTTGATCCAGCCTGGTACATGGATTCAGGAGCTACTGACCATGTTACTCCTGATCCTACTCAACTAATTTCCAGCAGAACCTATGATGGAGTTGAGCAACTACAAGTTGGTAATGGTGAGTCTCTCCATATATCTCATATAGGCTCCACTTTATTTCCCAATTCATTTCATTCTAAGTGCTTACATTTGCACAATGTGTTGTGTGTTCCTAGAATAACTAAAAATCTCCTTAGTATTTCTAGATTCACTAAAGATAATCAAGTAACTGTGGAATTTGACTCTGATTGTTGTGTTGTTAAGGACAAGGCTACCAAGGCAGTGTTACTGCAGGGAGGACTTAAGGCTGGTCTATACCAATTGCACATGCCTTCTTGCTTCTCCTCTGGTTACACTTCTGGTTGTCTAGAAAAGTCAACTACTTTGAGTTCTAGGTTTTGTAATACTTTGGTTTCAAATAAGTCAGTAGGTACTAATAGTCAGTATAGTTGTAGTTTGCCCCAGTCTGTTAGTTCTCTGAATGATTTTCAAGATGCTAACGCCAACTGTAATATACTGACTAGCAATCCAATAAATGTTGTTGTTAATCACAATCACAGGCTGCAAGATCCACAATTATTTTGTAGTACTCAAAGTCCTGTCTCATATGCAAATGATTGTACTCCTAATTTCATTAATAAGACACAATGTTTGGAACACTCTAGTTTAAACTCTGTTAATTCTGCATCTGGAATGTTTGTTACTACTGCTGCTATTTCTGATATTCCTACAAATAATAATAACATCTCTAATTTGGTTTATAGTTCTGACAGAATTTCTGATAATACTCCTGCTTTTGATGATTATCCTAGTCTGAACAAATCTAATTCTGATTCTGTTCTGCATATTGCTTCTGTTGCAAATCATGCTTCTATGTTTTATGTTGTTGAAAATTCTATGGTTGATGCTAATGTAAATTCTACTTCTGTGTTGAATGATGATGCACATTCTGCTTCTATGGTTGCTGCTGGTGCAAATTCTGGTTCTGTGGTCCATGTTGATGAAAATTCTGCTATGTCGAAATTTCTTGTTCATAATGCTGCAATTAGACAATCTGACACATACCACAATCATCCTATAACAAATCATCCTACAGTTTTTCAGGCTAGCAATACTAGGAACAATGCCTTGTCCCTCTGGCATAATCGTTTAGGCGACCCTCATGCTGATGTTTTAAGTAAAATCTTACCTCACATTCATCCTCAACCTTTAGAACCTATTTCATCATTAGGTTTTTGTGATGCATGTAAACTAGGAAAACTGCATAGAAATCACTTTCCTAGTTCAACCTCTGGAGCTACACAACTACTTGAAATAGTTCATAGTGACATTTGGGACCAGCACCAGTAGCTTCATTAGAAGGTTTTAAATACTACATTCATTTCATTGATGACTACAGTAGGTTCACCTAGATGTTTCCCTTAAGAACCAAAGCTGAAGTTCAGTCCACTTTCATCAAATTTCACCACTTAGTTGAGAGACAACTTGGCTATAAACTCAAAATCTTACAGTCTGACCAAGGAGGAGAGTATAGGGGTCTAATACCTTATCTTACCACTGCTAGAATCCAGCTTAGGCATTCTTGTGCCTATGTCCACCAACAAAATGGGAGAAATGAGAGGAAGCATAGACATATAGCTGAAACAGGCCTGACCTTACTAGCCCATGCATCCATGCCTTTACATTTTTGGTGGCGTGTATTTGATACTGCTGTGTTTCTTATTAATAGAATGCCTACCTCAATTTTGAATTTTTTGTCCCCATATCAGGTTATGTACAGTAGACCTCCTGTATATTCTGAGTTAAAAATTTTTGGTTGTGCTTGTTTTCCATTCTTCTAAATGTGTTTTTCTAGGTTATAGTGTAAGTCATAAAGGTTACAAATATCTTAGTTTAGAGGGAAAAATTGTCATTACTCCTAATGTTTAGTTCAATGAATTGGAGCTCCCTTTTGCTACTGGTTTTAGTCAACATTCGTCTAGTTCCTGTTCCTCTTTACTCAAAGCAGCAGTCCCTCCTAGTTTCTCTACTTGTTTTCCTTTTGTTTCTATTTCCTTTTCTAATGGTACAACCAGCAAAGTCTCCTCTACAGTGGACTATTCTGTTCCTAATCCTTTCCTCACTACTAACAAGTCAGCTCCTAGTTCCTCATTGCAGGACATTGATAAATCTATACCCAGTCCATCTCTTCCTAAACCATCTTCTAAAATCAGTACCTCACTTTCAAATACTACATCTAACAACCCTGATACTTATACTTCCACATTACCTACTCCTATTCCATCTTCTATTCCACATACATTTCCATTAGAAATAGATCTATCTTGCTATCATCTTCCCAATTCTACGATTCAAAAGCCTTCTATACCTTCAGATTATACACAATCAGCCCAGACACACACTGATCACTCTCTTGTTGTTGACTTAACTCCATCACAGTGTCTTCAAACTGAAGTTCCTACCTATGCACCTGAATCCTTTTCATCAGCCCCTTATAATCAGCCTATCACTCAATCTCTTATCACTAATTCACATCCTATGCTCACCAGATCCAAAACCAGAACTTTACCCATTCCATCAGGATCTATTCTAGTGAATGAAATACCCGCCCTTGTGCTTCTGTCAACCATAATCAACCCACAAACCAACCTATTACACTGACTATAGCATCTAACTTTGAACCCACAGACCAAACAAGCAACTCAATCTCAACTGCCCTTACCCTGGTCAAGTCCTCACCTGTTAAACCTGAACCTGGTACTGTGACTGAAGCTCTTGCTTGTGATGAGTGGAAAAAGGCCATGCAAGATAAGTTTGATGCTCTTATTAGGAATGAAACTTGGAGTTTAGTCCCTCCCACTTCTGATATGAACATAGTTGGTAATAAGTGGGTGTTTCGAATTAAGTTTCATGCTGATGGATCTCTCCAAAAGTATAAGGCTAGACTAGTTGCTAAATGATTTCAACAAACTCCTGGCTTAGATTATTTTGAAACTTTCAGCGCCGTTATTAAACCAGCAACCATTCGAATCATTTTCACATTGGCTGTCACTTATGGTTGGGATATTCAACAAGTGGATATGAACAATGCCTTCTTAATGGTCATTTGAATGAAACAGTCTATATGAGACAACCAGAAGGGTTTGAGGTT